CACCGATTGCACGTCGTCGTAGCTCCACCATTGCCCTTGATAGATCAACCATGGAACTTGATGTTCATCATGCCAATATCTCGTTGCTCCCTCAGCCAACATTTCGCATAGCTAAATTTACATTTTAAAATCAATTGTTTTGTCGTTTTGTCGTAAAATTTCCATTTAACTTGTCTTTCGTCTTTGCGTCTGGAAATTTTTCTATTCTTCTTATTTCTCCTATTTGATCGCTCCATGACAAAAATCAAGCACACGACTCCACAAAATTCATCGGTATTCATTTGGATTTTTTTGCTTTCTTTTCTTGCTTTTTTCTTAGAAATGCTTTTTTTCAGACAGCGACAAAAAAAGAGAAGACAACATCGGTGGTCAATGCAAGGAAAAAGGGCACAGATCTCAAGGTATGACTTTGATTTTATGGCAAGTTGGAGAAGAATTGCCAGAGATAAAATTAGTTTAGAAAAGAAAATCTTTTAATTTTCTTCGAGTTTTGTTAATCAGTAATTTTGTTTATTTATGCAATTTTTGTATTTTTAGTTAGATCGATGGTTTCTAACGCATTTCTCGGTGCCGTGTCCCTACGATGGATTTCGAGCTGAATTCGAGGCGCTCAATGATTTGGTTGGTTACTTTTAGTTACTTTTAGCTCATCAAATGTCTACGCTTTATTTAAAACTCACTGTTATTAAACAAGAAAACGTATGGACATTAAAGTTTAATTTAAAAGCAATTGGTGTCAGTTCGTAATTACTACCTGTTTAAATATTGTTTTTAGGAGAACCCGTGGAGGGAAGAAAACAAGAAGAAAAACCCGTACATCGCTTGGAACATTGTCGGTGGAGAGACGAAAACGTTAAAGGTTTGTTCATTGGTTGGCTTATATCATTGTAAATGTTCTTGCATGTTTAGGTTAATGCTCAGAAGATCCCTTGTCCGAATGGAGGCTCCGGATTTATCGCATGTGAGGGTCCCACTTTGACCAGTGTCTACGATTTTTGGACGCTTGTTTATCAGGTTCATCTGTCTTTTCTCACTTGTTATTCTTAAACCTCTAGGAGAAAATCGATAAAGTGCTTAGCTTGAATTTCCCCTTTGAGGAGCGCTACTATCCAAACGTGAGTAACACTTTATGATTTCTGCGTCATTTTTAAACTTTAGCGGTAATTTATGAATCCAGCTTTTTACTTCATAACATTGGCAAGTCTTTGAATTTAGAATTACTCAGCCGAACACGAGACGATTCGATATTGGCCAACGGAAGCGGGGGAGGTTCTCTACTTTATGCCTTACAAAGTGACATGTCTTTCAAGTGTTTTCAAGGTATGGTTTTTATTGATTTCCATTTATTTATTCTTTTTTTAGTATGCGCCAAACGAGATGTCAGTCGACAACAAGAACACGATCTACCGCCTTTCTCGTCTCATACTCACGTTCATCAACCCAGTGACGGGTCCGATGCCAGATAGGTGATTTTGATTCTGAGACAAATAGCTATGGTTATTAAACTCCGTTTTTAGTGTACGCGAAGTTGTGCATGTGTGCTATTTGCGTTGGCCAGATGGGCGCATTCCAATGCCGTGGCCGCCCGACAACGACACTTTTTCCGAGGCTGGTCTTCGACTGCTCGACACCATGACTGAGGTGAATCTTTACCAACTATTACCTTAAAATTTTAGTTTATTTTGTTGATGATGAACTTAATAAATTCTAGGCTTAAAATTTGACATATATTATTTTGTTTAGGAACTCAAACCAGAGACTGGCGGTCCTTTACTCGTTCACTGTCACGCTGGACTTGGTCGTACTGGTTTGTTTTTCATTCAAGCTCCTCATTTTCACTTCTTTAGGAGCTGCTATTGCATTGATTCAATGCCTTCACCAGTATCAACTGAGCTCAACTGTCAATATTTGGGTAAGCTGAATAGCATTCTTTTTGAACCAATGATACTTTAGGGATGCGTCGAGAGGATGCGTGAGTTCCGTTCTCGGATGGTGATGAATCACTGGCAATACGCGTTTGTAAATCTTGTTTTCGCTGAAAAGGTGTGTTTTAGTTAATTGTTATTTCATTTGATTTGTAGATGCTCTCGGTTGGTCACCTTACGGCTCACTGTGGTGGATATGATGTTCGAGCACTTTTGAGAAGCACTTGGAAACGATTGGAAAGTGAATTGAAGTAAGTGGTTTAAAGTTGTTTGCTAAAAGCCTGTGAAATTCTGAAATTCTCTAGTATGCGTATGAAATTCTCGTATTTTGGTCAATGAAACCGTAGTTTAGTTTGATTCAGTTTTCTTCATTTTTAGTCGAGCTTTCGAAGGCCAACCACCGCTCCAAATGTTCGAGGCTGAGACGGTTCAATGGAAAATCTTTGCCGAGCAACTTTCATCGAGCAAGGCCTATCGATTGGAGAGTTGTCAAGAGGAGGAAACAATCGTCGAGTTAGGATAAAAAGCTAGGGTTGTTTTTCTGTCTGTGATTTGATCGCTTTTAATGTGGTATCCTTTTTGGAGATTCATTTGAGAACAACTGGTGCTTTTAATAAATAGTTTCACATTTTAAGAGTCTACCTCGAAATAGGCGGCAGTGCCCGTCTCGTCGGAGCCTTTGAATTCGGGGGCTGGGAGTGTTGCCTGATGAGCCTGGTTGAATGTCATTTGGATCCTGAAATGGATTATATTTTAACTGTTACGTTTGAGGCATTAAAGTTTAGGAAGATGCTATTGAGAAAGTGAGTTGCTGAATGAACTCTCGAAATCGCTAAATTTTACTTGATCGCTAAATTTCACTTGATCTACAGTAACCTTACTTGGAGTAGTGTTTACCAATTGTCATGGCTCAAAATGGGTCATGGGGTTACGATTAATGATTTCAACAACCTTCAAAGTCCATCCGTGGCCATATGGAGCAATTCCGATCACAACTTTCTCTTTGGGAAATCCGTCTTTGTTCCATGCCCTTGCAGCCCAATCCTGTACATTATTAATTTCGAATTCTCATTCTTGTCTACCGTATTGTATTCACTTTCCGGCTTTTGGAGATCAGAACGTTTGTAGAGTGGAGAGTTCATTCCGGTGATTCCCTCATCATCGTCAGGCGTCCAGAAATCGTAAGTCATCACGTTGACAAAGTCAAGCGAGCTAAAGTTGCGTAAGAATGGGTTTATTGTATTTTTACCTGGCAATATTTGGAATATCGTATCCTTTCATTTCATCAGCTCCAGCCGCCACAGCTGCCGTGAACAAGAGCGGCGTTTTCTGTGAAAGGCGAGCCTCGGCGGTGATCGATATTCTCATCTCCTGGAATTAAGCTTAACTAATAAATTCTTCAAATCACCTGCAATAGAGCCACATAATTCGGATCTTTCTTCTTTGGATATTCCCAATCTAGATCGATTCTGTTTCTTATTCTGATTCTGATCGATACCTAGATCAATACCGTCAAAATTATACAAACGGGCCCAACGAAGTGCTGCATTGATAAAAGCGCCTCTGTTTGAGGGATCGGCAGACATTTCCTAAAAAAAGCTTTCTTTTTGTTTGAAAAACTTTTGCTTTACCTTGAAAATCTTTGTTCCAAAGCTCCATCCACCGATTGAAAGTAATGTTTTCAAATCGGGTTGTATTTTCTTGAGATTGTTGACAAGTTCGTATTGACCGGGTCCTCCATCATCGCCCTTGAGATCGGTGGGATCAGTGATTCTAGGAAAATGTAAGCAAAATAATGATTGGGTGGTATTAAAATAAGGAAATGAGAGCCCAATAGTTCCTACTTGATCGAAAAATCGGTCTTATCGATGTAGGCAAAAGCGTAGATGATGTGGGTGCAGAGGCCGGGTTTATAGTCGCTCGTGAGGAACTTGGCTCTGCCCTCACTAAACATTGAAAGGGATATGTATAAGTTTAATATAGATAGATAAGTAAAGAATAAGTTAAAATGAAAGATACTTTATAAGTAGACGTTTGTTAGGCTTGAACTTGTAGTTGGATACTTGATCTTTCAATTTAAAGGCCGGGATGCGCCACTGTGACCGCTTTAACAGTTTACAGTCAGCTTCAATGCATTTCTTCAGACGCTTTTGAAAGTTCTTAATTAGAGTGTGTTTCTCTAAAGAAATAGTGCAAAATAGGAAACGAGCGCATTTAAAATAAACTGAATATCTGACAAATTGTACAAGATATTTAAGAGATACAGTTGATTTCGACCTAACCCGTTTCCTATTCCACACTATTTCTTGAGAAGAACGCACCCTAGTTTACACGCCCAGCTTACAGGTCCAAATATGCAAGTAAAGAAGCTATTATGTTGCAATACATTATCCGTACATTTTAAATCGTTCAACTGACCGATATTGCGCCCAATTCGTGAAGTAACATGGTCGAATATAAGCGGTGCCGTCTAATCGTTTTGGTACATTTGATTCTTCATCTATGAGTTAAGATTTTGGGAAAATTCTTTGTGTAAAACCTCCTTGAACTAAAGAAAAATAAAAGAGAAAACAAAGCAAAAGTGGAATAAAAGTCTTCATTAGAGTTTCGGCTCAGTCTTTGCTTCCCTTGTTTGTGCCCGGAAATTTCTCACTTCAAAATTAGATGGGTTATCAGAAATTCCATTCGACGCGTCAAATCTCTGCCGCAATCCGATTTTTTCCGGGTTTTGTTTCAATGATAGAATGAAATATTTGAGTTCAAAGTCAATATTCACAAGTTGATCTAATGTTTATTCAAAAAAAGTTAGAAAGCTAGGCTTTAATCACATTTAGCAAAGGCTATCACACTAAATTGTAACTGGAATGAGCTGCTTTTGGGATCAGAGAAAAGGAGTGCATTAAGCGAAGTTAACAAGTAAATGAATTTTAGATAATTACAAGACAATGCTTTTGGGATCAGAGAAAAGGAGTGCATTAAGCGAAGTTAACAAGTGAATGAATTTTAGATAATTACAAGACAATGCCATAATAGGCCAAAGTGCAAAGATGTCAAAATTACAAAAACGAAGTCTTAAAGAATCTCGTTGTAATCGGTTGGTGCGTGCATGGAACTGCTTCCCGAAGTGAGACTGTACATGAAGAAGCTGGGCTTTCCTTGCGTGAAAGCCCCCTCTGAACATTTCCAATAGAAGAAGTTACCGTGGTTCAAATGTATTTTAGGAAAACTTTTTAGAGTTGTTTATTTTAGGAAAACAGGAAATTTTTAGAGTTGTTTATTATATTATTACTGATACTGATATATAATTAGATTATTAGAAATCAGTACCGATTTATAATCATTAGATCATTATAAATCAGTACCAATTCTGTGCTGTCCTTTGTAGAGTGTGTTCCTCGCGGGTAATGTGTTTTCTAAAAGGCAACCATTTGAGAAAACTACCGTAGTCAAATCGTTAGTTCACATTCGATCAGCCCGCCTTTGATATCAATCAATGAGCCTCGGAATTCCTCACCGAATGACACCAACATTGGGTCAATTGAATGTAAACTAACGATTTGACTTCGGTAGTTTTCTCCAATAGGTGCCTTTTAGAAAACGCATTACTCGCGAGGAACACACTTTAAGTGAGACTGTACATGAAGAAGCTGTGCTATCCTTGGATGAAAGACTCTTCTAAACATTCCAATTCCAGAAGAAGTTACCGTAGCTCAAATGTATTTACTTTACCTAGTTTCTTTCTTTCTCGGGATTTCCTGCTGTCTTCTGTGTTGATGACTCTCCTTGAAGCATAATTTGCAAACAAAAAAACACTCAATGTAACTAACTTTTTGAGTGCCTCGAGAACCTTGTTGTTCACCAGCTCAAACTCGTTCCAGGCCAACGCTAGCTCACGCTTATCGCCGTTGTTGAGTAGTATCCACTCGATTTTCCGACGTGCCGCTTCGCGCTTCATATTTGGGACTTTCACCTAAAATTCTCTTCAGTACAAGTGACTTATCACTTAATATCTTGGCAATGCAAAGTTGAGATCAATATCGTACCTCCTCTGAATATCCCCCGTTCCAATAGTGCAGCCCGCGGTATTGGTAGCACGGAAACTCGTTTTCCTGTTTGCCCTGAAACCAATCTCTCAAAATAATTTCTGTACTTTGTACTAAAATTTCACCTTTTCGATGAATATCGCCTTCAGTTGGCAGAAGAACGGCATCCAGGCCCAGAGGTAAAGGATGGCTCGCATCAGTGGATATTGGTACTTCATGTATTCGTCCTTGTGCGGGTCGTTTTCGATCTCTGTAATATTTCTGAAGCTTGTAACTTTGTTCATTTCTAACTTTTCGCTAGCGCCTTGAACGCATCGCTGTCGTAGAAAGAGTCTATGTCTGAATTGCGGAAAGTATAGCAAATTAATTTAAACGAGTTACTTTTCTTGTTCAAAGACTGAGCGATGACCCAATCTGGTAGTTCAAGCTGAAAGTTGGATTTGATAAGATAAAGTAAAAATCTTTACCACAGGCGGAAATTTTCGATAAAGCTCGGGATATTCATAGGTCTCAAGGGCCCTTGGCTCAGTTATCATTGCTGAAACAAAAGCGATTCAACTTATTCTCGTGCATAAAATTAACCTTCAGCATCATGTGTGCGCTTCCGATCGATTCTTGGTTTTTTCCGTTTACCCTCGTGCGCCGAAACCGTTAGATTCGAGGGCACTCCAACCCTAGAATGAAAATTTTGCTTTAATCGATTTTTTTGACATCAACTTGAACAAGTCGTTTTGTTCGCGTCCGATTTCGGAGAGTCGTTTCTTGTCGTTTCTCACTTTATTCTAAAAGGATTTGCCAATGAAAAGTTTTCAGATTGACCAAATAAGTGAATGGTTTCCATAAAGTTCAAACTAACTAGGGAACTGTTTCAACTCGGAAACGAGTTGAGGAATGAGACCTAGCTCAAAAATGCGCTCTCAAAATTTGAAGCGACACATGTTTTTCAATTTTACTGAACCAATACAAAATTCTCTAGGTAAACGCTTTTGAAGTTTGGGTACTTTTTGGAAAAACGGCGCCGCCGCGGTATAGGGCCGTAATTGCTCGCTTTCAAAAAGCAAATAGATGGTGTAGGAGATGATGTGCCGGTGCTCGGCTCCTTTTGATCCTGGTTCGATTCCCTTCACTGCCAATTCTTTTTTGTTAAGTTACAAAAATCCATTTGGCATTAGATTTTAGCCAAAATAATGTTTCAGAATTAGAATTTAAAAAAGTACCCAAACTTTAAAAGCGTTTACCTCAAGAATTTTGTATTGGTTCCGTAAAATTGAAAAACATATGTTGCTTCAAATTTTGAGAGCGCATTTTTGAACTAGATCTCATTTCCCAACTCGTTGCCGAGTCGAAACAGGTTCTTAGTCTGTTCTGTTGTACTAACCACTGCATCCGCCAAACGATCCAGTTGCGGTCGCGATAGTCGTCCTGCTGCGGCAATCAAGCTGTCGACATCAACTTGCTCCGCAGAATTTAAGTCTACATTCTGTTGTTCGTGGGATTGGACTGAAACAGGTTCACATAAGTTAACTAGCTTTAATAAATCAAGGATTTGCTTACCTACAGATTGGCCCCCAATAGGTTGTGCTTGCACCCATTGCTGCTGAGAGAAATGATCTAAAATTAATGACAGCTGAAAAATTGTCTATTCCAGATATGATTTTGTTAAGTACCTGTTTGCAATTGATGTGATAAACCGTGCCCGTGATGATCGTAGTAATCATTTTGTTGGTGCTGCGGTGCATTCGGGTCCACAGCCTCAACACATGGTACATTCGGACCAAAGCTATCAGAAGTTGTTGAGTCTAAGATGAAAAATGACGATATAAATCAAGCATTTGCTTGCCTTCATGTTGGTATAAGATAAGTGGTGCTTGCATCGATTGCTGGTGAGAGAAATCATCTAAAATTAATGATAGCTGAAAATTGACGACAGATTTGATAACTTTTTTAGTTTCAAAGTGTTAGAAATAAGTAAAGACTTTTATCTTGGAACAAACAATTCGAAAAACATTTAAAAGAAATGTTTTCTTTTGTAAATTACTAAAATTGTCAGACTAACTATGAGCTGTCAATCTTGTCAGTACTCAGATTACTAGAAAGTTTAATGAAAATTGCTTACTAGTGTCGAGGACTTCATCATCCCATAACAATGGTACATTCGGACCAAAGCTATCAGAAGTTGTTGAGTCTAAGATGAAAAATGACGATATAAATCAAGCATTTGCTTGCCTTCATGTTGGTATAAGATAAGCCCCTCCAACTCCGGCAGATCGCACGCATCGTCCTCTGGGCTAGCCATCTTTCGCCTCTATATAAAGTTTATTTGAAGTAGTAAAACATAAATTTATTACAGTATTCCAAGAAGAAACACTACTTGCAGTTAATCGATATTAATATTAATATAAAGATACATAGGTGTTGAGAAAAAGAGTGAACTATCTAGATAAGCTTGTTTATAATACAAGTTACTATTTTCATTTCACTAAACGTATGAAAAGGATATTTATATCACTTTCCATAACTAGAAAAATCAATATTCGAAAGTCAAAAAACCAAAATTAGATGATTCACTACTGAAGATGGCCGCAAAAAAGAGCGGCTGTTCAACGATAAGAACACCTTGAAAAAAGTGTCGACAAGTTTGAAATTGATCAACAATAGTAAAAAATTCTTCATCCTATAAGCTTTAAAAGGTTCTAAAATTTAAGTTTTTCAAAGATTGGGTATTTGTTTTACTATTTACAGAAGTTGGACAAAAATAAAACTGATAAGGCTAAACGGAGTTGCCGAAAAGGGATGAGTTTTATAGGGCTGCGTACAATTCTTATGTATGAATCTGTTGTAAGAAATGACAGAAACAAGAGAAAAAGCGGTAATTTGAAAACCATTTTTTTTACCCGATCGAACTTCACGCAAAGTTCTTACCTAACAAGTTGATGATGGGGCTTTAAGGGTTGATAAGGAAATGAGGCTTAAGCTTACTGGGCACTGATCTTTCGATAACCTACAGACAATCAGAAAAGAGATATGAGATCAGGAAATAATGGATTTTTTAATGGTTATCAGTTGGTTAAACGATTTTCCAAGATCAAGGATCAAATTTTTAAAAGGAATTTTCAATTTTCAAATTCGTTAACTTGCATATGAAGGGTTTTTATGAAAAAGGAATGATTTTATGAGGTAATTTTATTTGAAATCATGTGTTTAGGTTCGATAACAGCTCTCATCAATCGTTTTTTTGCCAGTTTACTAGTGAGATAAGACACATTCTCGATTCTTGTGCAAGGGGATGACGCGGAATACAAAGTTCAAGCACTTCGTTTTTTTTCATTTCAAGCTAAAACACGAAGTTGAAAAGTTTTTGAGTCAAAAACTCGGGACCATCGGTATCCCGTAAGCTCAATCCTGACCCAATATATCATTTTCTGAATACCTCTAATGAAAAGTGGAGAGAGGGGTAAAAAAAAAGAGAAACAGTGATTTGATAAGCCGTTTTTTATTGAGGTGTCACAAGGTGTTCTTCTTGCAAAACACCAGCACCTGCAATAATAGTTTGCAGTTTGATAATAAAGCGAATTCGCGCCTTGTGCAAGGAGATGATGCAAAGTTTAAGCACTTCATCACAATTTGAAAACAAAACTCGGAGTGTAGGGATTTTCAAGTTAAAAAGGCAATCAGTTATTATCTTATTGTTAGACTGTACTTTTTAAAGTTTAGAATTGAAATGGGTAAAGGGCTTACTTGGTCTCACTTTGAGCTTGATGTTTTTCGACAAGTCATGGCGAAATAATAAGCTGACTTCACAAAAACAATTAGCAAGAAATCGATCGGCAACTGTCGATAATCCTTTGCCGCGATTTGAAATACACTTTTGGGATTTGAAAGAATTAGAGAAATTATCTTTACCTACACCATTTTATCCATCGAAGATCCCAGTTAGGATAGCGAATTTTTTGTTTGCAAGAAGAAAAGAAAGTTTGAAAAGAAAAGTTTCATGTTGAAAATGAAATAGATAGGAAATCTGGTTGATAGATTAATAAAGAAAAATCCTATGCATAGGTAGAGCATTTATATATGGGTTTATTCTTTTGCGTAACCAAGCTTTCTACAGGCAAATAGAACAAAATTTCTACAGAAAACGCGCAATTTTCTTGCCCAATTTTATCTCTAGTTGCACAGACTCAAAGTTGAATCGATTGCTTAAAAGAAAGACTTTCATTTGCGTGCATTTAGCTGTGTTTTGTTATAGTACATATATAATATATTCAGCATCAAAAAAGTTACAAAAATTTATTGAGAAACAAAGCTCTTTCCGATTGTTTACTACACAGCAGCAACAGTGGTGGTTGTGGTTGTGGTGGCTGTGGTTGTGGTAGTTGAGGCGGCGGTTGTTGTTGTGAAATCGGAGTTGAAATCGAAAGTTTAAACCATAAATCTTCAAACAAAGCTTTAAAGTTACAAAATATAAGATTTACTTTTAAACTATAGCTTTTTCTGTACACTGAAAACTTATTCTCGTGCATAAAATTAACCTTTAGCGGCATGTTTGCGCTTCCGATCGATTCTTGGTTTTTTCCATTTACCCTCGTGCTCCGAAACCGTTAGATTCGAGGGCACTTGAACACTAGAATGGAAATTCTGCTTTAATCTTTTTTTTTGACACCAACTTGAACAAACCCAATTTTATCTCTCGTTACACCGACTCAAAGTTGAATCGATTGCTTAGAAGAAAGACTTTCATTTGCGTGTATTTAGCTGTGTTTTGTTATATATAATACTTCAAAATCAAAAAGAGTTACAATAATTTATTGAGAAACAAAGCTCTTTCCGATTGTTTATTACACAGTAGCAACAGGGGTGGTTGTAGTAGTGGCGATTGTGGTTGTGGTAGTTGGAGCGGCGGTTGTTGTGGTGAAATCGGCGCTGAAATTGAACGTTTAAATAATAAATCTTCAAACAAAGCTTTAAAGTTACAAAATATAAGATTTACTTTTAAATAATAGCCTTTTCTGTACACTGAAAACTTACGGATCAAAATACAAGCAGACGAGGTTGGTGACGTCACGGTTTTTCTAAAAATCTTGCTATAGGGAGATTTTAAGAGATTTTATATATGAGAATCTTTAAATTTAAGCATTTTAGCTACTGTAAGAGTAGTAAAATCAGTTTTGAATGAAGATTCTGCACCCACGCTCCATCTCTTTTTTCCCCATGGCCCATTGTTGCCATTGTTTCGGCGTCGGTGATGATGGTGATGATCGTCGTCATCTCTGCAAACCGAAGATAGTATTTATTTTGACAGTATCTTATATTTTAAAGTCTAAGAGTCAAAAAAAAGAACTAGTGGTAGTTCTAGCTTTCTAGCTGGTAGTTCAAAAGAAAACTTGTGCTACTCACCCTCCACGTCCACCACGTCTTTGATCATCTCCTTGATCATCTCCATCTTCAATCGATCTCTTGTGTCTGCGGTCATGACTGTCTCCAGATGACGATGATGAAGAGGAGTCGGATGAAGAGGAGCGATGCTTGCGGTGGTGCTTTCCCACGTACCATTTCCTGGAATTCTCCGTTGTTTGGCTCTAATACTTGCCTTACAATTAGTAAATGTTTTAAAGAGTTTAACGAATCAAAAATTGAGCTTGACTCTAACTGGAAGCTATTTGCTAGTCTAGAATGAGCATTAGATTTTACTGTTACTAACTTGTGACTCGAGCAATCAACAGTCAAGTGCAAGTCTCCAAAACCGACGACGATTGGCTAAATTGAAAAGCATTGTCCTTTTAGAAAACAGTAACGAAATTTAGCTCTATCTTTTCACCAACCTTAGTCTTTTTTCCATCCTTTGGAACAATGGCTCCAACGAGATTCTTCTTGGCACGGCACGACACAATGGCGAAGGCACATCCGTCTTCACCACTGAAATTTTGTAAACTTTAAGCCTTCTAAGCCATTATAGTATGCTTTTTAAATTAGTCATCTCTTTGATTAATATCAACTTTATCTAGAACTTTCCCTAAAACCTACGTGTAATCGAAATCGGCTTCCTTGCAGGTGGCGTTCGTGTACTCGGTCGAATCCTCGCAAGATCCCTCAAGTTTTGAGTGCTTGCATCGACGGCATTTGTCTGAAAAGGGTAGTTAATGGACTGACTGAGCAGGAGATTGCAAAATGTAAACTAAAACTTTACGTACACTTCTCATGGCTGCCACTGCTGCTGCTGCTGCTGCTTGAATCGTAGAAGGGATTTGACTGTAAAAGACTTTGATTTGCTTTCAAGGCTTACTGATGTAAGTTTAGAGAATACTTGAAAGCTTAAAAAGATTTGTATTATGTAGCAATTTCGACAGTAAAGTTTCGACAGTTACTGCAGTAATTTCCACAGTAATTTCTACCAGAGTTTGTTCCTTCCGAGTAAATACTCGAGTAAAATTTGCATGAGTAATCGACGTTTAACGCCGAGTCACCACGAGTACATCTATCATTCTTTACAGTAACCCGGACTCTTTACAGTAAATTGAATATCTTTACATTTGAGGGGAATTTCCTACAAAATCAATTAAACAGCTGAATATCTTTAAAAGAAGTCGTATATAAGCCAGCCTTTGATTCTTTCGGGCTAATTTTCTGCAATAATTTTCACTAAAAGTACGGTAATGTTTCCCAAGTATGCGTTTTTAAAAAAAACGCATTACTTGTGAGGAAAAGACTCTAATCTCTACAGTAGACTGCCAGGGAAATCGGGCAAAAGGTAGAATGAGTATTTGCAAGATGTACAGGGTTAATGAACTACGGTTACAGTGCTTTGATTCCGTTAGATGAATCCATTAGATGATTCCGTTAGATGGTAGACTTTCAAAAACTCTGTATGGCTTAAATATTATCGGTTATAAGACTGAGTACTTGGTACAATGTCGGTACATTACGGTAAAATGTCTACAAGTTACTTCTCACTTCTAGTACCTTTTCCTTTACTTGAAAAACTCACGAGTGGTCTTGGGTATTGTTGTGGATAGTTTCCACCTCCATAACCACCTCCACCGTATCCACCATATTGACAAGTGACTGTGGCAACAACTGCCGCCAAAACGATCAGCAACATCTCGAATTCAACGAATACCCAAAACTAAAAGGAAATCGGCTATGGAAATTTTATAATCTTAAGAGCAGTTGAGTGAGTTTAAAGACAATTCAAAAAATGCTGAATGCTGAATGGTAAATCAAATTTACAAAGCCTTCTTAGAAGCAAAGGATGAGTTCAAGAATGTACAAAAGTTCTATTAAAGTTTCTTTACTTCAAACTTTATGATGAAACCAAAAAAAGTTTCTATTCAAAAGATCTGTGAATTCCTCGATTCCTTTCACCTCTCGAAAGGCTTTTTATTCTCGGATTGACCATGAATTGACGGAGGATTCTCGAAAAGTTTTGTCTACGCCGAAATTTTTCATTTGAAAACATTGAGGCATAAATTTGCGATTAGCAATCCTCAAGTAAAACGATTGAGAAATTGAATTGGAAGAAACTGCAGAAATAAAAGATATTTCAACTGTTCTCATGATTTTGATGGCTTTCAAAAGATCTCTGAATCTCAGTCTACAATTTTGGGCTTACACAATGGCGCACAATTATGGAAACTTGGTTTTTCGACTGTAAATCGATGCCCAATTATTTAATTTCTTTAATTTCATATAGATATATTAAACTTTATCCTCAATTCAAGCACTTCAACGACAGTTTCAACAACGTGCTGCTTTGAATCCAAATAACAAGCACACACCGCCTCGAGTTCTCCTCTTGCTGTTTGACTGATCTGTGTACAATATCAATAACAGCTTTTGATATGAATAGATAACCTAATGGATAGATATTAAGCCTAAGAATTTAGTTATTTGAACTCACAACAATACCTAGGATTATGATATGTGAGACTTGTTTCCTGTTAAAAATCACTTACCCTAAAGTCTCGAGTATAATTTCATCCGAGTATAAGTTCTGCCTTAATTTACATTCGCTTTAATTGCTTTGAATTTCTTTTTGTTGGGTTTTTATACATTTTTATTGTTATATAAACTTTTTTTATTGTTATATAAACTTTTATTATTGTTCTTGGAGCGCGGGATACTACAGGGTGACAGCCTATCACCATTGCTATTTGTTATGTGTACATCCAGATGATAGTGTTGAAGAAGACGCTGGGAAGCATCTCTTTCGACCGTCGACGTGGACTTTGGCCGGATGAAGAGGCCAGGGAGGGATCCATAAGACTGAGCACCGGAGAGGAGCAGGGCGGACGCGCCGAGCCACGCCCGGAGCAACAAATAACAGCATAAAATTGCTATAACCCTCAATAAATTTACTTCTATTATTGTTCTTAAAAAGCAAAAAAGTTATGCTGCAGCGGGGTCCGAACCCTCGACACACCGCACCGAGAGACAGCCATCAATTTGCATGACTTCAACGTCTTCACTTATCTCTAAGTCGATAAGTCCTGTAGAGGAGTCACTCCTATATCTCTGGACTGAACAATATTAGCATTTAGCCTAGAATCTGAACAAACCTTTACTTATTATAGTATAAAGTACTTTTTCTAGGTCCAAATTTCATGTAGAATCCGAATTTGCACTTAAAATTGGGGGTTTCCTTACAGAACCAAACAGAACTTAATCTTACTGGCGACTTTAGGGTATTTTATGTCACAGAAAACTCGAGATTTCAGCTTAAAAATATGTTTTTTTTCTTCCGTAAATGTAAAGTAAATGTCATTTGTCGCTTTGTTTGCTAATTGGCTTTCATTTGCAGGTGTTTTCGTGTTTTCGCGTAAAAATAAACTTAAAAATAATTTACTATTGAATGACAAAAGCAATATTTGTACAAAGTAGATAAAGAAAGCTTTAAATATCACAAATCTCAAAAGAACAAAACAATAAAAGACATGAAATAACGGTAGATCATGTAAATTTTGGAATTTTCTCTGTAATGATTGAATTTAAACCTGAAAAATGGTCATAAAAAAAAGGAAAAGAAGAAATAAAAGATTTCTTCTTTAAATAAAAGAAGAAAACCCGATATAAATACAAAGAAAAAACAGAAGAAAATCGATTTTTTTAGAAGAAAATCTTTTTGGTTTAAGAAAAGAAGTCAAAAAATTTTTTTAGCAAAGCTGGAGGCAAAAAAACCTGGATATGAATGGTTGAAGCTTGGGAAATAAAAAAAAGAAATTTCAAAAACACAAAGAAAGCGCTTGTGATTACATTAGAATTCTATGATTTAGAATAAAAAAAGAAAAGATTTTAACTTTTTTAAAACCCTAGCTATTGTAATCCTTTCCATTGGGAGAAACTAGTTTAACTGTTTAACTGTTTAACTGTTTAACTGTTTAACTGTTTAACTGTTTAACAGTTTAACAGTTTAACAGCTTAACATTTTAACAGTTAACAATTCAGTTTTAACAAAGTTAAACCAAAACTAGATTCAATTTTGATTTATTGATTGAATATCTTTTGTTATCAAGAAGTTAAACTTAAAGGAAAACGAGTTTTTAGATATCTTATATTATTCAAAACAAATTTCCATTTTACTGAAAGAATGCAAAATGAGTAAAATGATCAGAATGACAAAATTGAAAGGAACCATTGACCTAAGTCTTTCATTCTAATTGAGCAATCATTGACCAAAATGAAAGCAATCATGGACCAAAATGAAAGCAATCATTGACCAAAATGAAAGCAATCATTGGCCAAAATGAAAGCAATCAATGACCAAAATGAAAGCAATCATTGACCAAAATGAAAGCAATCATTGACCTAAGTGTTATCACTTTTATCTCATTTTAAATCCCAATGGAAAGGATCAAGAAAGGAATACTTTACATCTAACAATCTAGGCTACATGATTTGAAGAGATGATATGTGTTGTGAACATGTATTTATCAGCACACAGATGACCGCATAAATTGCAACGCCATGGCTCGTGCTCGGAGTGGAGTCCTTTGTGAAGTAATTGAAGGGTACGATCGAAGAAGACAATCCCGCAATGGGTACAGTCCTGAAAATCGACTGAGTTTGATAATAAATCAAAACTTGATCTAGTTTTGGTTTAACTTTGTTAAAACTTAATTGATAACTGTTAAACTGTTAAACAGTTAAAATCGTTTTCCCCAATGGAAAGGATTACATTAGCTAGGGTTTTAAAAAAGTTAAAATCTTTTCTTTTTTATTCTAAATCAATCAACAATTTTCTAAGCTAGGCTTACGATTATTCTAGTGTAAAAAGTTTCTTGCTTTCACTGACCAATGCATCTTTTGTAGCGGAATCTTCAGTCCCTTCTCCAGACGAGGCTCCACTGTCAACAGATGGTGAATGCGATTGGGGTGTGGGTGAGGGTAATGATGAGAGCCCACTCGCGCTCAATTCACCAGCCCACATTCGAAGCACTGATTCTTTTGTATCCTGAAAGAATATTGAAATTAAAAGCTCTGTAAATGTTTTCAAAGAAATTTACCGATAAGAGTGCTTGTTGCACAGCGGCTGTGTTAGAAAGAGCGACGAGAAGCTCTTCACTAGAGAGGTAGGGCTGAAAGATAATCATAATAATGACCAATCAAATTCCACCAACTCTCTCATATTCTTGTTTCTGTGACAAATCAGGTGTGAGACTTTGTAGGGGAGAGGTAAATCCTTTTTGAACAAGTTGTTGAATATGAGATTGAAGAGCAGCAGCCATTGCGGCAGCTGATGGAAGAAGAGGGATTGGTTGCATCTAGAAATCTCAGTTCAGTTTATTTCAGTTTATTTCAGTTTATTAGGGTAATAAAATACGAATCTTTAACATATAATAAAAGAAAATCTTTGTAATTTACAAATCAAAGCTTTTTTTTGGCAGTTTAATACAACTTGATTTTACCATTATTGGCTATTTGTCTTCAGAAAGCCAAAAATTTCAATTCTCCTGTGTTTTCTTGTACTTTGTGCTTAAAAATAGAAAACGTACCCTTTCTGGCATTTATTTTTCGATCTCCAGGAACGCCAGAAAGATTAAGTACACAAAATTTCTAAGTAAATAGAATAACAAAAGGTTTTTAATAAACTTTGCTTAAGATTTTGTCAACTTCTCAAACCCACAATGTTAGCTGTAGGCAAAATTGTGTGTTGTGGCGGGGAGGGATTGTGCTCCATCACTCCAATCGTTTGATGTGTTCTTTTCTTTCTCGGTTCTCTTTTAATCTCTGCTCTCAGCATAGCCGATGCCTAAAACGATTTATTTCTTTGAAAGATTGAAAATCACCCGGCTCTTTATTAAAAAGCACCTGTTACAATAACCTTTTATTATTTTTAAGGGTTTCTTGATTCAGTGCTTCAAAAAAGCTTGAGTACTTACCGTAAATATTGTAATAGTACCCATCCCCCTCGTACAATAATTTGGTTTTAGTTCATTCGGACGTTTAGGGTTGTTTATGGATTAATGTAACATCTAATAACTTACCGTAAATACTGTAATAGTACCCCACCCCCCTCGTACAGTCGCGTAGTCCAAAAGGTTTTTAGTATTTCATTTTTTTCAAAGCACCCGTACTTTCAAAAAATGCGTCTTTGGTATCAAAAAATAGCCCTGAATTTCAGCTATTTTTTGATACATAAGTGCGCATTGTAGCATAAACCAATCTCGAGAAAAACTCGTCCAAAGCTAGACTACGCAACACACCGCACCGTCATTATCTTTTGTATCAAAAAATAGCCCTGAATTTCAGCTATTTTTTGATATCTAAGTGCGCATTGTAGCATAAACCAATCTCGAGAAAAACTCGTTCAAAGCTCGACTACGCAACACACCGCACCGTCATTATGGGGGTGCGGTACTATTACAGTATTTACGGTAGGTAATTGGAAGGTGATTTTTCAAGTTTTTTATAAGCTTTTACAATATTTGGATTCTTGAAATGAAAAATGGATTTGTTGTACCTCTGAATCATCGTGTTTTGTCTGATAATGGAGGAGAAGACGACGCGAATTCGAGAAGAGCAATGTGCATCTGGAAAAGGAAAAGAATTTTTGGGGAAATTGGGCAAAGATTTATGAGATTATCAAGTTTTGAAGTTTTAAGA